AGCATCAGCATCATCATGTCTTCTCTTATTGCCTTACGTAGCGAACAGACATGTTCATGCTCCCCCTCCTCCTCCTCAGACTCATCCCCCCCTCTCCTCGTCATCATTCACCTTGTCATCATCCTCCTCCGCCTCCTCCTCCTCCTCCTCCGCCTCCTCCTCCCCCTCCTCGTCCTCCTCCTCTCCTCCCCCTGATTGACTTAGCAAGCAGGCATGTTCAGGTACCTCATCCTCATCCCCCTCCTCCTCCTTTTCCTCCTCCTCCTCCGCCGCCTCCTCATCCTCCGCCACCTCCTCCCCCTCCTCCTCCGCCTCCTCATCTTCAGCCCCCCCCCCCGCCTCCTCCTCATACGCCTCCTCCTCCGCATCCGCTTCCTCTTCCCCCCCCCTCCTCCTCATCTTTCTCCACTCCTCCTTCTTTCTGACTTAGCGAACAGACATGTTCATGTTCATCGTCGTCCACCTCCTCCTCCCCCTCCTCATCATGTTCCTCCTCAGCCTCATTCTCCCCATCCTCCTCCTCCCCCTCCGCCTCCTCCTCCTCCTGATCCTCCACTCCTCCTTTCTTTGACTCAGCGAACAGACGCGGTCACGGTCCTCCTCCTCCTCCTCCGTCTCTTCCTCCTCCTGTTCCTCCTCATCCTCCTCCGCCTCATCCTCATCCTCCGCATCCTCCTCCCCCTCTTCCTCCTCCTCATCCTCCTCCCCCGCCTGCTCCTTATCCCCCTCGTCCTCCTCCTCTTCCTCCTCCTTGTCCTCCTCATCCTCCGCCGCATCCTCATCCTCCGACACCTCCTCCCCCTCCTTCTCCGCCTCCTCCTCCGCCGCCGCCTCCCCCCGCCTCCTCCTCATACGCTGCCTCCTCCTCCTCCGCATCCGCTTCCTCTTCCTCCCCTCTCCTCCTCATCGTTCTCCACTCCTCCTTCTTTCTGGCTTAGCGAACAGACATGCTCGTGTTCATCTTCCTCCGCCTCTCATCCCTTTCCTCCTCCTCCTCCTCCTCCTCCTCTTCTTCCTCCTCCTCCTCCTCCTCCTCCTCCTCCTCCTCCTTCTCCTCCTCCCCCCCTCCTCCTCCTCCTCCTCCTCCTCCGCCTCCTCCTCCTCCTCTTCCCCCTCCTCCTTTTTTGATTTAGCGAACAGACATGGTCACGTTCCTTCTCCTCCGCCTATTCCTCCTCCTGTTCCTCATCCTCCTCCTCCTCCGCCTCGTCATCATCATCCTCCGCATCCTCCTCCTCCTCCTCCTCCTCACCCTCCTTCTCCCCCGCCTGATCCTCATCCGCCTCGTCTTCCTCCCCTTCCTCCTCCGCCTTCTTCTCCTCCGTTCCTCCTCCTGGTTGGCTTAGCGAACAAACATGTTCAGGTTCCTCCTCCGCCTCCTCATCAATTTCCGTCTCGTCCTCCGCCCTGTCCCTTCATCATCCGCCTCATCACCCTCCTCCGCCTCGTTCTCCCCCCTCCGCCTCCTCCTCCTTCTCCTCATCCTCCGCCGCCTACCCCGCCTCCTCTCCTCCGCCTCCTCTTCCTCCTCCTCCTCCTCATCCGCCTCCTCCTCCTCTTACTCCTCCTTCCCTCCGTTCATCCTCCTCCGCCTCCTCCTCCCTCTCCTCTCATCCTCCTTCCCCTCATCCACATCCACCTTCTCGTCCTCCTCCTCAACCTCTTCCTCCCCCTTCCTCGTCCACTCCTCATCCGTTTTGGCTTATTGAACAGGCATGTTCATAGTCCTCCTCCTCCTCCTCCTCCTCCGCCTCCTCCCCCTCCTCCGCCTCCCTTTTCTCCTCCTCTTCCACCACCTCCTCCTCCTCCTCCTCATCCTCCTCCTCCGCTTCCTCCTCCTCATCCGCCTCCTCCTCTCTTTCCTCCGCCGCCTCCCCCGCCACCGCATCATCCGCCTCCTCCTCCTCCCTCCTCGTCTCCTCCTCCTCCTCCTCCTCCTCCTCCTCCTCCTCCTCCTGTTTGACTTAGCGGACAGACATGTTCAGCATGCTCCTCATCTTCATCCTCCGTCTCCTCCTCCTCCTCCGCCCCCTCCTCCTCCTCCTCATCCTCCTCCTCAGCCTCCTCCCCTTCCCCTCCTGTTCCTCCTCCTACCCCCCTCCTCATCATCCTCCTCAGCCTTCTCCTCCCCCTTTCCCTCCTCCTCTCCTTCTCCGACATTTGACTAGGCGAGCAGACATGCTCATGTTCATCCTCCTCCTCCTCCTCCACATCCTCCTCCCCCTCCCGCCTCTCCTCCTCCTCTCCCCCCTCCTCCTCCTTCCTCCTCCTTCTCCGCCTCCTCCCCTCCTCCTCCGCTCCGCCTCCTCCTCCCCCTTCTCCCCGCCTCGTCATCCTCCTCCGCCGCCTCCTCCGCCTCTCCCCTCCTCCGCCTCCTCCTCACCCTCCTTCTCCTCCTCCTCCTCCTCTCCTCCTCCTCCCCCCTCCGCCCCCATCCTCATTCTCCTCCGCTCCTCTCCTCCTCCTCCACGCCTCCCCGCCTCCTCCTCCATCTCCTCCTCCTCCTCCTCCTCCTCCTCCTCCTCCTCCTCCTCCTCCTCCTCCTCCTCATCCCTCCTCCTCCTCCTCCTGCTCCTCCTCCTCCTCCTCCTCCTCCCTCCTCCTCCTCCTCCTCCTCCCTCCTCGTCTCCACCTCCTCCTCCTCCTCCTCGTCATCATCATCATCATCATCATCATCATCATCTCATCATCATCATCATCATCATCATCATCATCATCATCATCATCATCACATCATCATCATCATCATCATCATCATCATCATCATCGTCATCATCATCATCACCAGCATCATCATCATCATCATCATCATCAGCAGCAGCAGCATCATCAGCATCATCATCAGCAGCATCATCATCAGCATCACCATCATCATCAGCATCATCAGCATCATCATCCTCTTCCGCCTCTCCTCCTCATGTTGACTTAGCGCACAGACATGTTCATGTTCCTCCTCTTCCTTCTTCGCCTCCTCCCCCCCTTCCTCCTTCTTTCCCTCCTCCGCCTCCTCCTCCTCCTCCTCCTCCCCTTCCCTTCCTCCTCCTCCTCCATCCTCCTCCTCCTCCTCCTCCTCCTCCCTCCTCCTCCTCCTCCTCCTCTCCTCCTCCTTTCTGACGTAGCGAACAGACATGCTCATGTTCATCCTCCTCCTCCTGTTCCTCCTCCTGTTCCTCTCCTCCTCCGCCTCTCCTCCTCCTTCCCGCCTCCTCCTCCTCCTCCCTCCTCTCCCCTTCCTCCTCCCCCTCCTCCTTGTTCATGTTCCTCCTCCTCCTCCTCCGCCTCCTCCTCACCCTCCTCCTCATCCTCCTCCTCCGCCTCCTCCTTCTCCTCCGCCTCCTCATCCTCCTCCCTCCAACGCCTGCTCCATGTCCCAAGCCTGTGGCGCGGTGTTCAGCTTGTCGTTGTCGTTGTCGTCGCGTGGTCGTCGTCGCCGTCCTTCTGGGTCGGCGGCACCTGCCGTAAGGCCTTCACTATACTCGTGTGTCGCAACGTGGCTTGTGGCCACCCATCTGGAAGCTCTCTTGGGGGCCTCCAAGGGCCGTGTTGGAGCTCTCTTGGGACCCTCAGACAACACGGGTTGGGGTCTCCAGGGACCTTCTTGGGGCTTTCCCTGGGACCTCACAGCCGCCAAAGATGAGATCCAAGAGGGCCCGAACAAAGTAAGCACCTTGCACAGTACTAGTGTAACGCAGCGTGGCTTCTTCTAAACCTCCTCCGGAAGCTATCTTTCTCTTGGGCTCTGGCTCCCTCGGGGTCCTCTTGAAGCCTTCCACTGGCCCTCTTGAGACCTCCAGGGGCGTGTCTTCTGGCCATAGATCATGCCAGGGGCGTGTTTCCTGGCAGTACATCATGCAGTCTGGAGGGAGGAAGGGAGGAGTGGAATGAGAACAAGGAGGGCCGAGGAGAGAAGGATGGTGGAGAAAGTGAAGGCGGATCAATGGAGGAGGCAAGCAGGGACACAGGGCACCGCGCGTCGAATAACAAACTGCCGAGCGAACGAATGATTGAGTTTCCCATCATGGCCAACCCGGCCAAGTGAAATCTCAGGCGAACCGATCAGCGCGACCTACAACCACTCCTCGCGTTGCGACGAGAGGGAACCGCTTACAACGACTCAGGATGGAGGACGAGGAATCGGGGTCGGAGGAAGAAGAGCAGGAGGGGGAACGGTGCTCCATGAGCCGCCTGGCTCTAGCCTGACCAGCCCCCCCCCCCCCCAGGGCCGACCGGTCTTGGGGAGGGCAGGGCGGCGTCCGTACGACTCTGGCGCCTTAGGGGCTGGGGCTACTGATAGAGGAACAGACACAGCCATAAATATAAACTTTTGCCAGTCCTCACGGATTTCTTAGATCTGAGCTGGCCCCCCCTCCCTGGCTCGCGGAACACGCCAGGGGCGGCGTCGGAGGCGCCGCCAGAGAGTCCCAGCGCAAATCCAAGAAATCTGCTCGGACCGCCGAACAATCATGAATACCGTTTTGCTTTTCGAACTATACTTTGCCGCTTTTCTAGCTCGCGTACTTGTCCTCCTCGTCCCACTACTGCCCCGACTGTCCGGAATAACATGCATCTGCGCAACAACTTGTCGCGGTGCACGGTGGTGGATGTCTTTATGTTTGCTTGATGGCAAACGCAGGGCGCGCCAACCTTCCACCATCTTCCCCATTTGCCCCTCCCAGCAGTGTCCATTCCCACCTCTCTTAAAGCCACCCACGAGTCACCTATACCAAAATCCACTCGAGAAGCTATCGGCGCGACCCTGATCCTAAGGACACCTCCGAAGCACCCGAAGCGACGAACGATGCGTCGCAATTCTGGCATGTGTGGGCTCTTCTCTCTTCAGAATCCTCATGTCGTCGTCGTCGTCCTCCTCCTCCGCCTCCTCATGCTCCTCCTCCTCCTCCTCCTCCTCCTCCTCATCATCATCATCATCCTCCATTTTGAACCCCCAGGCGCGCTGGCACCCTCAAAACGAAGCGTTTGCTCCGCGGAAGCGCCGGAGCCTGGCGAAACCAGTCCCTCTCGTCCTTTGCCAAGTCGTGCATGATCTCATTCCAAGCCTCGTGAACGCTCTGGGAAGGGGAGAAGTGAGAGAGGAGGAAAGGAAGGAAGAATAGTACGAGGAAGACTGCACGTAGCATGAGGGCGGCACCGGGTGAACGCGGCAATTCGATGGCACAGCGCGACGCGCCACTCTTACGCGCCCATGGTCAATCGAAGGGTCAACATTTGGTAATGGCGTGCGTGTGGGCGTAGCGTTACGCCTGAGCCGGACCTCGAGCTCGTCCTAGCGCGATGATATGTATTCATGTGCACATACTGGAACCACGCGCGCTTCGCGCGCGCAGAGGTCTAGCGAAGGCAAGCACAGGGTTCTGTTGTGAAGCTATGAGGGTGGAAGTAGGTGCAGGTGTGTGGTTTCCTGTTGCCCCTTCGTAGGGGGCCACATGCGAACCCTACCCCTACCCCCCACGATTTCTGAGGGGGTGGGGTTCGCTTCGTTTGGGAGCTCCCAAACGAGGTGAACCCCACCCTCCCCCTCAGAAATCGTGGGGGGTAGGGGTAGGGTTCGCATGTGGACCCACACATCGGTCGTCGCATGTCAGTCGGATCGCGCAAACTTCGAAGCAGAAAGCTAAGATTGGCGTCTCGTCGGCTCGGTTTGGGCAGGAAGTCCCCGACACGATGACTTCGAGGCCTCGGCGGCTCGGATCGGACACGAACATCTTCGACGTGCCTCAGGATGGCCCAATTCTGGCCTCGACAAGGAGAACAACATAGAAGAGAGAAATAGAGAGGGAGCGGACAGAGAGAGAGAGAGGCAGAGAGACAAAAGAGAGAGAGAGAGAGAGGAAGAGAGAGAGAGAGAGAGAAAGAGAGGCCGGAGGGGGGAGGGAGGGGGTGACGGGGGCTGGGAGGGCTGGCGGGGAAGGCGAAGAGCAGAGGTGGCGAGAGGCAACAAAGCGAGTCGGGGCGTCGGGGCGTCCGTCGGGGCTCGGGGCGCCCTCCCGCACGCCCCACTGCCCGACGACCGGCGACCGCCTCGGGGACCTCCAAGAGCGAAAGAGCCTGGCCAGGAGCCCGGGGGCCTGGCCGGGGGCCGGGGGGGCGGGTCGGGGGCGACAACGGGGGCGAATGGCCCAAGGGAGAACAACACATGCACGGTGGGACCAAAGTATAAGAGCGAGGACGGTTCGGGGAGGGCACCCTGCATGGCGCCCGTGCCTGGCGCGGTGGGCGCAGTCTGCGCACCTGGTCGTAACGGATCGCCTGTTGCTGCAAACCAGTGCGTCCACCCACGGACGCCAGGGTCCTCGCGCTGCCCCCTCATGTGCACGCGCACGTCACAATCAACCACCTCTGCCGTGCACGACTGGGCGTTCCACGCGTGCGAGCTGACACAAAGACAACGCGGAGGCAACTGGAAGGAGCGGGCGGAGAGGAAGGTTCCGGTGAGGCGCGAGAACGCCCGCCCTCGGCTTCCCCTCGCCTCCCTCTCTGCTCCCTTTCTTTCCCCCTCCAGGAGGCCCAGAAATGGGCACCGACACCAGAACAGGGGGTGGCCTCCGCGTGGGGAAGATGATCCTAGATTTCGGTGTTGGTGGTAATACTTCGGCCACCCTGGAGGCCATAATATTACCACCATCGCCGAGATCGGGATCTTCTTCCCTCGGTGAAGGCACACCGCCGAAACTGGTGTTGGTGTCAGCCTCTAGGCCTGCGACCCTCTGATCCCTTGCTCCTGCGTCTACAGGCATCGGCCTGACCTAAGGAACGATAAGTAAGGAACGAAGCCCCTTGTCGTTCCAAGTGAGTCTACGAAATCCGAAGGAACACCAGGGGGGCTCGCCGCCAAAAAGGTAGCAGAACGCATGCAAACCCAAGGAACGACCGAGCCCCTTTTGAAAAGGAAGTGTTCCTTATTCAAGCCGCTCACTGTATGTTCCCTCGCTCTTTCCCTCACATCTGCACTGGCTCCCTCTCCTCCCATCCTCCGCAGACGAAGCTGGCAGCCTCTCCAGTGGAGGCTCGGAGCAGCGTGACGAAACCACGCAGGAAGGTCCTGAAGTTGCCGTGCTCGTTGAAGGTCTCGTGAAGCTGCGGGCGACATGAGGTTGAAAAGTTTGGAGCATTGCGCGTGGAGCGGCTGCTGGGCAAGCTGTAAGGATGCAGTACACTCGGGCGACTATGGCCAGTGTCCAATGGCGGATTTTTATTTACGCAAAACACACACGTACGCATCTAGTTGTATATATATATATATATACATATATATATATATATATATATATATTCACGGCTGTATGTACGTCCACATGTAAACATATAAGCTCGTTTTCTTCCCATGATTTAACCGTATACAAGACAGCCAGACTTTTCCAGTGAGTCCGGCATCAATTTTTTAAGCATGCATCTGCACGTTGGGTTTCGACACGGGCAGCCAACCGCGGATGCGAAACGCGTAGCGCGAGCAATGGTACGTACGGGGGCACGCGGCATGATACCGAACGGATGGGTGCATAGGTGAAATACAAGGTAAAGCAACGAGAATGCTGCTTATGACTGTGCGCGTGCACGTGCTTGCGGCACGTCCAGAAACATCGAGTCCTTCATTGACAGGGCGACAACCACTGTGAATGTCTTGGACGTGCTCGGCTCTCCACGCAAGCCCGTGTCTTTCCTCACCGTCCCACTGACCCACCCCATTCCCTCCTCCCCCGTTGCGCACCTTTCCCTCATCCCCCCCGTCCCCTCCTGCCTGCCACCCGTAGGTGGACGGTGCCGACTCGTGATTTTGCCCAGGCGTCCGCTTCCATGCCTGAGAACACCCCGCGTGAACAGCTGAAGCGCAGGCAGACTGAACGGAAAGGACGGATGAGGGAAGAGAAAGGGATGAGGAGGAGAAATTTTAGGAGAGCCGCGGCCGATGGCACATGAGAGGCGCCGACCCACACCCCGACAACCGTGGGTCGCCGCAACCTTGGCTTGGCGAAAGGTGCGGAAAGGCAGCGCCAAGGCGCATCGCGTCCGATCGCGAACGCGGGCAAGTGTCTGACGCCCGAAAAGGCGACCGATCGACAGGGCCACGCGCGCGACCGAGGGGGCCGCGCGGTTTTTCAACCTCCCGCGGAGAGTTTCGAGGGGCCGCTGCCAGGCCAAGCTTGGCAACCGCCCATGCATGTCCGCGCCCCGCCCGCCGCCCCCCCGATTCGACCCGTCCTCCTCGGGGCGCTCTGGAGCTGCTGTCCCGCCCGGATCTCTGGAACTGGCGCGCTCGAGGAGCGCGAAGCTCGCGGCGGCTCGGCCGCCCCCCGACGCGCGCGCCGCCCGGCGCTCCGCGCGCCCCGGCCCGGCGCCGCTCGGACGCGCCGCTCCGGGGAAGCGGGGGCGGCCGGCGGGGCGGCGGATCCAACGGCGCTGCGGAGCGTCTCCCAGCGGCCAGGCCACCGCTGCCCCCGCCGAAGGCCGGGCGAGCAGGAGCGAGCGCCGCCGCCTCTCGACGCCGCCCCTGGCCTCGACGCGCGGGGCCCCTGCCGCGGGAACCTCGCGCCTCCGAGAGGTGCCGGCCACGGCGCGACGACGGCGCCGGCCAGGCGCGGGGCCACGCAGAAGGACCCGACAGACGCCGACAACCCACTGCGCGTTCGAAAAACATTGGTTGCAGAAGCGAACTGTCGAACCTCTCATAATATTCCAGAAACCGACCCCAAGTTCTCACATTGTCATGGCCGCGACTGTCGACGCGACGGCGTTCGGCCGGGGGAGCTTGGTGAACCCGCGGAGGCCAGGCGCGCGGCCCGTCGCCGCCGCGCGCCCCGCCGAGCGCTTGGCAAGCGCACGGGATCACAAGGCGCGCCTCTGACTCTTGCCGCAAGACGGCAAGGGCGAACATCGCTGCCCCGCGCAGGCCAGAGCGCCGCCGGCGACCACAGGGCGTCTTGAACCGCGGCACCATCGCGGCAGACTCGCGAGGTCGAGGCATCGCCCATGAGATTGCCGAGCGAGGCTCGGGCCACGATGAGGACCTGTTCACGACTGGCGGTCATGATGATCGCCGAGCGGCTCCTCCTCGATTCAAAGCACTCGGCCCTCGCGCGCGAGAGAGGTCGGAGGCCTCGGCGCCGATGCGCGCGCCGGCTGCAAGAGCCGGCGTCGGCGAACCTCCATGTGCGCGCCAGTGCAAGAAGAGCAAGACAGACACCGCGCGGTTTACAGCCTGGCGTTCGCCGGCGCCGCTGCAGGCACAGGAACGGCGACGCCGGCGCGCGTCTGGCGACGAGAAACAAATCCACGCGCGCGCAACCTTATTACTTGTCACCCACTCGGGCCGGGCGTCTTTCCTGGAAGTCACCGCGCGCGTGACCTCCCACGACCTGCTGTCTCGGACGTGGCTGATTGCGGCGCCCCCCGACCCCCCGCGCGCGACTTCCGAACCGCGAGAAAGAGCCCGCCCCCGCCGCACGCGGCGCGCGTCGACCGCTGGAAACGTTCAGCGAGAATGCGGCTGTAAACTCGCGGCAGCGGCGCCCCCAGCGCGCGTCGACCGCCGCGAGCATGCCGCGGCGAGCATCGAATCGCAATCGCGATGGTGACGGTCTCTCGAAACAAGAACACGTCAGAATAGCTGCGAGAACTACGCCTTCAGAGCACTCGCCTGCCCCCCCCCCTTCGGGAGCGGCCAAGAGGGGGGTGTCCAAGAGGGGGGGGTGCAAATCATGACCGGCGGCATGTGCGCGGCCCAGTAGGGGGGCCAGGGACGTAATGAATCAGAAGAGGCGCCATGAAATCTGGGGAAATATCATGGCCCCCGCCATGATATCCCCCCCCTAGTCATCACCCCCCTCTTTTCCGCCCCCGACCCCTGTAGACCCCCCCTCGGCGACCCGCCGGGGATGTCCTGGAGCGCCGAAGCTCCCGAGGGCACTCGGCTGGCCATGCGCGAAACCTCTGTCAGGCGACTCGAGCGCGGCAGCACGTCCGGCTCCCGCAGGGACTGCCCAGGCGCCCTCCTCGCGGCGCCAGTCAACCATGTTCGCGCGTCCCTCGAGGGGGCGACGCAGAGACTGGAGGCGCGCATGGCCTCGAAGCCCCAGAGGCGCGCGGCCGCGCGCGAGGCTGTCGCCTCGAACTCCTCGCATCAAAATCGCAGACTTGCGCCGCGGCAGAGTGCCAGTAAACAAATGGAAGCCGATGTGATTCCGAAAATTGCTCTGGCGTTCGCGCCCGGCCTTTAACAGGAAACGCCCTCGCTCGTAGCTGAATTCGTCGAGACCGGGCGACGCAAACCAAACTCTTGGAAGTGCAATGCCCCGGCATCGAAAGCAAAATCGCCCCCCGCGCCGGGGCGAACTCAGCGACGGGGCGAAGGGGCGCGACCCGCTGACATCCAAGGCGCAGCCGCTAACGCGCCTCCCCAAATCGAACCCGCGGCGCCTTGGCCGCCGGGCGGAAGGCGGGGGCGAATCCGCGGCAGGCAGCGCGAGACCGCCGAGCACATCCGAATGGAAAGCATCCTCTCTAGCGACCTCGACGCACCCGGCCTCGTCGACCCCCCCCGCGCGGAGGCGGCGCGCGAGGCCATCTCTCCCCGGCGTCGACCGCCAGCGCTGGGGCGAGCAGGATGAACCTGCCGCTGCGCCTGCGTGCAAGGCGTCTCGCAAATCTTGGCCCGGGGCTGGTCCTCGATGGCCCCGCCTGATCTATCTCCGGCCCCCAACCGAGCGGCGGAAAAATCGAGCCTGGGCAGCCAGCAAGTCATGCGCTTTGCACACGCATGCAGAAGGACCGCGCGGCCGTCCAACGCGTGAGCATGACGAAAAAATGAAGAAATCTCACGTCATCGGTGAACGCGGCGCGCTAGAGGCCAGAAGGATGCGCGAGGGAAAACGACCGCGAGTCAAAACGGCCGCGGCAGGCGACGAGGGGGAGATTGAGGAGAAGAAAAGGGCGAGGTCGAGCGCGCCCACGGAGGCCCCTCCCAGCCGGATCCTCGGCGAACCAGCCATCTGCGCGGCAGGTAGCGGGTGAACGCGAAGCGCTGTTTTTAGTGTGAGAGAGAGAGAGAGAGAGAGAGAGAGAGAGAGAGAAAACAAAAAAAAAAGAGCGCGAGAGAAAAAAGAAGCAGAGAGAGGGAGAGAGAGAGAGAGAGAGAGAGAGAGAGAGGGATACCACATCCGAAAGGGCCCGCGCCCGCACGCACGCGCACACGCACACGCAAACATACACACACACACACACGTACTGAACTTGTTGAAGTGGAGCACGAATCAGTGCTCGATGAGGCCCTGAAGACCCATAACAAGCCGACCTGGGATGATGCGAGAGAATCAGGATCGAGAATCGGAAAAATCCAGCACATCCGAACGCTCGTCGGCGCGATTCTCCTCCATCTGCACATCGTGGCCGTTTCACTGAACTGGGGGTGCTCGATGGGCTTGGAGATGGAGCCGACCCGCTCTGGCCGAGAAGATGCCACCGCCATTGGAGCGAGCTTTCCCCCCGCCTGCGTCGCACTTGCGGCCTTGCCGCGCATGCAGCGACACGGCCCCTGCGGTGGCATCTTCGCCCCCGTGCGCAGAGCCGCGCAGCCAACGAGGACGGGAAAGAGTGGGCTGTCGGACCACGACTCCGTGCTCGAGCAGCGCCAGCAGGGTAAGGCGAACGCCCCCGTGGCGCCGTCCTCGTGCGGGGGAGGGGATTTCTCCTGCTTCGACCGCTCGCACGAGGCGAGAGGTTCCTCAAGGCGCGGGGGATTGCCATCATCAGCGGCTTTCAAAGCAGGAGCTTGGACGTCAAACTCATGCGCGCATCCAGAGACGCTGGAGATAATGGGTTGGGCCGCGTCCACGATGGCTGCGGCGGAAGGCGTGGCGATTTGCGGCCCCGTTTGTTCAAACCATTCGCCGGCAGCAGTCCCCATGGGGCCAGGGAGGAGTGCTCTCAGGCTGTACATATACATATACATGTGATCATCCACAACTGCCTGAACTCGCACGCCAACCTCCAACACTTGAGCATCGATGTGCAGCTGGGCAGAATCGGACGGTTCACCAAGTTGCCGTTGGAAGACATCCGCACGCAAGACACCTTTGCCGTCGTCCGCCGCGCCACCAATGTCTGAAGCAGAAACGGATCCAGACACCTGCGACTTCGCACCAGAAGAGATTCACCTACAAAATTGTCGCCAAAACTCTCCGAGCAAGTCGGCCGCCCTCCAGCTTAGCCAACAAATCCTGGAGGCGACCACTCGTGCCATTTTGCGATTCAACCAGCCCAGCATAATCTGAAAGTTGTGCGTCGTAGCAAACATCCGCCCTGCTGCAAGAGATCCGGAACAGAGCGAATGGGTGACCGCGTTGGGAACGTAGGTGAACTGAGGGCAGTCGGACCGGGAATCAACACAGGAATGTGTTTGCGAGGTACACATCACGATTGTCCTTGGCACCCGCGAAACGACGAGCCAGAACCGTGTGCGGGACCGACCTCCCAAGGCATGAGCGCGAAAGCTCGCCAGCGAGAGTGTATCGAAACACGCATCTTCCCACGGCTCCGCATCATGACGCAAGAAATGAATGTTATGGAAGGAAGCTGCAAACGGCACCGTGCAGGCGACGTGTGCGTCTTCCTATGATCATACGCGGCACACATGAGGTCTGACGAATGCTTGCCGGGATGCGACGCGAGTGTGGGCATAGCTGCCGCAGCAACATAAAAAGCATGACCACAAGCCTAAGCCTCCCCCATGAGAAATGAACGAAAGATGAGACAACAACGCGAAAGTCAGTGCGACATGAACTAAATTGCCAGAGCCAAACACAAGCAACCCGTCGTGCGCCCCAAATGGTCACATCAGAAATAGGCGAGGAGGAGGAGGCGGAGGAGGAGGACGGAGAGCAAGAGGAAGCAAGATCATGAGGATCAACTAAAGGGTGATACTTGGGGAAGGAAGAGGGCAAATAGGGGGGAGAGGAGGATGACACAGTGGGGCGATGATAAGGACAAGAAGGAGGTGGGTGGATGGGGGTTGGGGGGAAGGAGAAGGGGTAGATGAAGAGTGGCAGGGGAAATGGGCACGGGAGGGCAAAGAGTATAAACGGAGATGGCCATGATCAGGATGCCATCTTTGTTATCATCCTTTTCGTCCCTTCTCTCCCCCTCCCTCTCCTCGAATATCATTACTATTACGATATGAAGGTTAGATTCGTACTTATGCTATCGTGTGCAATTCGTATCAATATAGTATTATTATTGCTATTATCAATACTCGTAGAATTATTAGTAGTGGTAATGTTAAAAATAAAATGATCATTATTACTACTAGGATTACTGTTCTTATTCATGTTCGCATTGCAAGTTTAACTAGTAATATTAGTATTATTTATGTTATTGTTGTTATTCCTCCTCCTCCACCTCATCCTCCTCCCCCCGTCCTCTTGGGATCCCTCCGGCCGTGTCCTTGGCCGTACCAAAGAGACTCATTCCCAAGATGCTGAAGAGCACGAGAACCAGGCTCAGCACCATGAGCACGTTGCACAGCTTGGGGATCGACCTGCCCGCGACACGAAACAAACTGTAAGGCGAAGATGCCCCCCCCCACCCCCCTGGGCTCCCGCTGCTACGGCTCCTCCCGATCCAGCTGCTGCTCTGCTCTTGCAGCTGCTCCTTCGCTGGCCGCTCTCCTGCTCGTGATCCCGCTCTCGCTGTTCCTGCTGGTGCTGCTACTGATGCTCGGGATGCTGGTGGCCCTGCTGCTTCCTTTCTGCCTCCTCGTGGTCACATTCTTGCTGCAGTTGCTGTTGGTGTTGATGCTCCTGCCCCTCCTGCTCTCCTGCTTCTCCTCCTCCTCCTCCTCCTCCTCCTCTTCCTCCTCCTCCCTCTCCCTTATCCTGCCAACCTCCTCCTCCTCCTCCTCCTCCTTCTCCTCATCATCCTTGAGGCTGCGGGACAGTCGATATTGCTTCCACCCCACCAGCTGTCCCTCGACAGATCTTTTGGCGGTCGGCGGCCACCACTGTCACCACCACTTGCCCTCCTCCCTCTCCTGCCTCCCGTCCTCCTCCTGGTCCTCGCCCTCCTCATCCTCCTCACTACCCCCTCGTCCGTCATCATTCCTCTCCTCCTCCAGCTACTGGTCCTGAGTATGCACATCCTGCTCTTTCTCTTGACCGACATCAATATCACCATCACGTTCATCATCATCACTGGCCTCGGTCTCAGTCTCAGTCTCAGCCTCGTCGTCGTCGTCGTCGTCGTGGTCACCATCACCATCGCCATCGCCATCACCATTATCACCTGTAGCTGCTTTGGCTCAAGGGACACCTGGAGCTGCCCGAGTCCCCGTGCTAGGGGCGCCACTCCTGCCCCCAAGCACTCCGCCCGCGCCCCGTGGTGGTGCCCTGTTGGGCGCGGCGCATCTTTTTTGTCCGCCCATGTCGTCTGGAACGGACGCGGCTCGGAGTCGGAATCGAATCGAGTCGGCGCCAGGAGGCGTAACGGCGCCATAGAAGCATCGGGCCGCATCGGATCGCCAGAACATCGGAATCGCATTGGATGCGGCAGGGAGGGCGTGGGAAGCGGAGTGTCGGAGGTGTGGGGGAGAAGGATAGCTGAGCAGGGCGGGGCACAGACGAGGAGGGACGAACAGGGAGGAGCAGGAGCAGGCCGAGAAAGAGCTGGAGGGGGAAGAGCTGGAGGAGGAAGAGCCGGTGCTGGATCGGATCGATCGGATCGGCATGGGCCCTGGTGGGCGCGGCGCACGTGATGCCCTCGCCAGTTGCCCGTCCCCCCCCCCCAGCGTCGGCCCTGAGGCGCCTCTGCCCGGGGATGGGGCTCCGCCGACCGCGCTCTCAGAGTGCGGCGGCGAAGGGCCTCCTCCTCTTCCTCCTCCTCCTCCTCCCCCTCCTCCTCCTCTTCCTCCTCCTCCTCTTCCTCCGCCTCCTCCTCCTCGTCTTCCTCCTCTTCCTCGTCTGCCTCCTCCTCCTCCTCTTCCTCCTCCTCCTCTTCATCCTCTTCCTCCTCTTCCTCCTCTTCCTCCTCCTCCTCCTCTTACTTCTCCTTCTCCTCCTCCTCCTCCTCCTCCTCCTCTTCCTCCTCTTCCTCCTCTTCCTCCTCTTCCCCTCTTCCTCCTCTTCCTCCTCCTCCTCCTCCTCCGCCTCCTCCGTTGACCGACACACCCCGTGCAGTGCCCACGTCTTTGGCGAGGCCCCCCTCTGCCCGAGTCCTGTCGGGAGTCTGGCCGCGCTGAACGGTGCCCTCGCCGAGGCGCCGCGCGAGAACTTCCCAGTGGCTCGGGCCCCGCCCGTGCGTAGCTCATGCCTTGGGCGTTGCTCAATTGGGGGGGGGCAATCAATAGGGGGGGCGTGCACCTGTTTTGTTCGTGGTAGGCGACCCTGGAACCTTAGGAATATTGGTCAGGCTGACGAATGCTGCATTCAAGCAAAGCAGTTACCAGTTTCATGTCCTCCTTCATAGCTAGAAGCTCTGTGAAACAGGGCGTGCGCTCATGGTCGACGAGTTGGCCATGCGAGCTTAGCCCAACCTTACAGCGCCGAGCCCAACCTTGCTGAGGATAGCGCTTCCAAAGCTTAACCGTCATACTGGTGGAACCTGTATCGGACGCTCTTCGGGTCCCTCCGTCCGTGTGCACTTGAAGACAACAGGACAACACTGGTCATAGTTCGTGTGTCCCTTTCTTAGCCCCAGGGGGGCCCTTTAGGGCCCCTGTGCGGCACGAGGGGTGCACCTTGCTCCACCCCGCACGCACATTCACCGCCCCCTCATCACGCAACGCCCACGTGATGTCCCCACGCCGAGTCGCTGGGAGCGGAGGCACCCCGCGAACGCCTTCCGTTCGCTGGGTGGGATCGCGCGTGAGTCCCGACCTCGACTTGCGCCAGCTCTGAACCTCAAGCTGTGCGAGAGAGGGCGGGGCCGTCTGGCTCGCTCGAGCCGGCCAGCTTGCCTACTACTCCCAGTCCTACTTCTCCCCCTCCTCGTCCTGCTCATCTCTCCCATCCCGCCTCGCTCGTTCTCAATCTGAGGGCGCCATACTGTTGCTACCAATCCGGCGCAAAGAGGGACAAGGCCAAGGTAACAATAGGACGACAAAGAACAACATACGCAGGATGACTGCAGACGCCGGGGAGCACCATCACTACCCCCAATCACCGAGAGAGCGTGTTCTGTGCACGCCGGATTTGTGCAATGTCCCAACCTCCTCCGCTCTGGCCCCTCCCCTCGAAAACCCCCCCCCCCTGCCCAGAGCCCCCCCCTCCGATGGCTGGCGAGGGCCCCCCCCAAACCCCTCCCGCCCTCCCTCGCCGCGTTGTCGTCGTCGTTTGCCCGCGCCCGGCGTCGGCCGGGCGGGTGGGCAAGACACCTTGTCGACGTCGTCGTTGGTATATATCGGTCGGGCGTGTCGGCGGGACCCGGCGAGTCGATTGGGAGGGCGGGACGTGTCGTCGTCGCTCTCGCCGCCGTCGTGGTCGTCCTCCTCCTCCTCGTCGCCTTCGTCCTCGTCGTCGTCGTCGTCGTTGTCCTCTGCGAGTCCGTCGGTCGGGGGGGACACACACGAGCCGGTCGGGCGGGCGGGCGGCACACGTAACTGTCGTCGTCGTCGTCGTCGTCGTCGCTGTTGCGGTCCAATCCTCGCTGTAGTTTGCCGGCGCTGGGGGGCGCGTCTGCCATGGGGGGGGGTTGCACTCGCATGATGGGCCAATCGCAACCCACTGGTACCAACCCCAACTGACTGGGGCACATCTCAACTAGCAGTAACACCGACCAGCATCAAGCCTTACACCCGGATCCTGATTGTGGAGCGTTTGAGCACGATCCGTAGATCACGCGAACATCTGAAATGAACATGTCGCTACATCAGTGCCATGGCTGACATCGGTAACACTGTACTTCGTTCCAGCTGGGGTTCTGTAGTGTTCAAATGCGCAGAGGCAAGTTTTCAGACTGGAGCTGTATGGCTTTCGTGTGAGCGCTGCACGCTTATGATACGACACATGCATCTGTTTCGTAATCAAAAGTTTTATGCCAATGGCTGTATAACGTTGTTCAAAGAGCTGCGCAGGTTTTATAAGCGAACTGCATGGCATTCATATAGAAGAGCTGTACACTGTCAAATGAGAAGTGCGGAATGCTCAATGCCAAATGCAACTTCCATATAGAAAAAACATCGGCTTGACATTCAATGTGTGTAGCTCGCGCATGAGAGTTTTTTGTCGATTAGAATGCGAATCCAGTGGTTGTCACACCCCGGCGTGGAAAAAGGGTAGCCTGCACATGATATTTGCACTTTCTCCCAACGGAACTGTACGATTTTCAAGTCAGACTTGCCAAACTGTCATGTGAGTTGTTTCGGGCTCTGTTCGTTTGACCGTTGTACAGGTGTCACTCGACAATTGGTAGGTTTCGTGCTGCAGCTGTGTACGAATCGATTGAGAAGTGCGTGTCCCGCGTCAGAGAAACGTGGAACGCTTTTCGCATAATGACGTATTCGGTATTGTGCGGAAGCAACCGCGATTTTACATGACAGCTGTATAGCTTTTACGGTGGACTTGTATGGCGCTACAATCAAGCAGCTGTATAGCATTCATGTGAGAATTGTACTCGTGACACCCGAGGGCCTGTATAGTCTTCACATCAGGACACTCCAGGCTCCACACGGGAATTGCACGGGCTTCACTTGAGAATTGTAAATTTGCCACCTGCGAAAAAAGACCCAGTGCGGATCTTTCAGGGATCCTGCGAAGATCTCTTAGATCCTGCGAGGATCTTCCAGTGATCCAGCAAGGATCCTGCAAGGATCTTTCAAGGATCCTGCAAGGATCTGTCTGGGATCCTGCAAGGCTCCCTCAGAGATTCCGCAAAGCCCTCTGTGTGATCTTGCAAGGACCCCGCAGGGATCCTGTAAGGGTCTCTCATGGGTCCTCGAACCACCTTTCAAGGATCCTACGTCGATCCCTCTCAAGCATCCTGCAAGGATCTCTCAGCATCCCCTAAGGATGCCTCAATTATCCTGTGCGAAATCTCTCAGAAATCCTCTCGCAATCCCCCCCCCGAAACGGTCCATATTGGCATTTCAATTGGAATTGGTTCGAAGTGGTTGGGATCCGCTTCAGTTGGTTATTAATTGTCCCATTTCCGGTTAACCCCCTTCCCTCCTCGACCTTCACTCTGGAGAGGGGGGCGAGACGTGTTTCGAATCACCCCTCGACTTTTGAGGACAGGCGAGGGGTTCAAAACCTCGTCCCCCTTGAATGTCTCCCAACGTGCTCAAGCGACGCTCTTTCCAATCACACCGCCCCAATCCAACGTATCCGTCAATGGCGGTCCAATCGCGCCTCCGTGGCCACAAACTGGGAGGTCCAGCGCCGACGAGAGAAGGATTTCCCAGATAGTTCACGCAAGCTGGTGCGTCAGCAGCGGCGGGCAGCAATGTGGCTGGAATATTTGACGTCCAGACCACACACACATGCTAACTCCAACCGAACTCACCTGCCCAAGTCTCCCCGTCCTTTTCCCCTGCTTCCCTCCTCCTCTGCCTCCCCCTCCTCAAGAAAAGCGCAAGGAGGAAGAGTGTGAGCTAGGCGTGGCCTGAATAAGCACCTGAAGAGCCGGTTCAGCTCCTTCAAGAACCTGAGGGCCGGCCAAGAAGAGGCATGCAGCCTGAGTGCCCTCCCCAACCGCGCCACCTTCTTCTCGCAGTTCCTCGCCTCCTCTCCCTCGCGCTTCCTTCCAGGCCCATCTTCCTCCTCCGCAGCATCCACCTGATCCTACTCCCCGTCCTCCTGCTGCTGGTCCTCCTCCTCCTCACCTCCTAACCCCTCCTCCTTCTCCTCCTACTCCTCCGCTTCTCCTCATTATTCCTCCTCTTCTCTGTATTATTATTATTGTTGTTATGTTCATTATTATGTTTGTTCGTATTCGCCTTATCCGCACCAGCATTATCATTACTATTGTTATTACGATGTTCCATGTTTATTTGTATTCGTGTTAATCGTAGTGATTTTAATGTTAGCATTGCTAGCATTGTTAGTCGGATTAATGCCATGATTCTTTTCTAGTATGATTGTTATTACTAAGATTACCATTATTAGTATTGCTATTATGACCGGTATCCGTGTAACTGTCATTAGTGTTATTGTGGGTATACTTATGCATGGGATTGTTCGGTTGCATAATAATAGCAACATCCAGTTTAGTTGTAGCGTTAATAATAAAAGTACATTATTCTGAATACTCGCAGTAGTAATGTTATGGTTTCAGTATTGGTGCTACTACTAATGTTGTTCAAGATTTGCCCTGTAGGGTCCATTACTGCTCGCTCTGCTCCGTATGCTGTGGAATTACCAATCTCCCTTCTGCGATGTCGGACAGCAGACGTATCGTGTCTTCTCTACTTATGGGCAAGGGCTCCTTGAGAACCCTCTTCGGCTCAATTCCGAAGTGCTTGCAAAGTAAAGTATTGGTCGACACAATTACTCGTTTGAATTGGCGAAGCTGCTGTGTGGCAGGCTTGCGCGTATCTTTTTTCTTCTCCTTGCCCATCGTGTGGGCCTTGAGCCAAAACAATTCCGGAGATGATCCCTGCGACCGCGGAGTTGCCACACCCGGTCAACAGCCTCCGCTGCCAGGAGGTGGCGTTGCCCCACACCTCCTGGCCCAAAAAACGATGCAACACACTATTCTCATAAGCGCTGGCGGGAATCGTGCTCCGCGACACGAAGCTGGAAACAAAAGAAATGCCCAATGATTATGAGGACATCCTGTTCTACTGTCGGTTCCCGCGTTGTCCGTCTCGTTTCGGGCATGCCACGCCCTACCCACAGCACAGACATTTGTCTGGCTGCTGCTAGACCTGGACGCCGATGACCTTACGCGGCCAACCCGGACACCCAGCGGGCAGCTTCCACAAGGCGCGCACGGCCGCCAGCGGCCGCCAACCTTACGCGAGGCCAACGCGGACCGCCTGCGGACAGCTTACTGATGCCTTACGTACACGCGCGTACACACCACGAGATGTTGTTGTTGCTAGTATTACTCGTCTTATCATTCGTATCAGTGCTGTTGCTATGCTTCGTATTAGTAGTACCAGGTATTACTACGAGTGCCACCATTATCGTCAGTATTAGCATTCACATTGATAGTATGGTTATTGTTATGAGTATGAATCGTAGTAGTCGTAGTATTAAGAGTACTCAGACGGTTAGTTCTCCTCCTCCTCCTCCTCACGCCGCCCCAGCCGCTCGAATGCCGCGCGCCGTGCTCAGTGCACCCGAGCTCAAGAGCGCGGGGCCGCGCGTCTCCTCCACGCCCTCGCCGAGGTCGAGCACCACAAGGGCCTCCTCCTCCTCCTCCTCCTCCTCCGCAATTACTCAATATGAATACTACTCTTCTCCTTCCCCTGATGACGGGTTGGGAGTCTTCGCCCCCCCCCGCGTACTGTTTGTTAACACGCAGGATTCCCCGGAGTTGGGTTTTCGCCTGCACTTCTTTCAAAATGCTGCTCTCGCTGAGGCGCCGGCCTCATTTTCGGGCCCCGCTCGTTCCGAATCGTGCTCCCGCTGCAGCGAATCGTGCTCCCGCTGCAGCGCTGGCCTCATTTCCGCGCTTCCGCTCGTTCCGAATCGTGTTCCCGCTGCAGCGCTGGCGTCGTTTCCCGTGCCATGCCACGGCATGCAATGCAATGCTAGGTTGCGTCCCGCTGCGCGATGCCATGCCTTCAGCTGAAGCTGTGATATGCAGTGCTTAAGTGCCACGTCGTGCTATGCCATGCTACGCTTTGATCTTCAACGCCATGCCATGCAATGTTCTGTTCGGGGCCGCTGTGCGATGCCATGCTTTGCGTTGCAAATCTTCGTGATGCAATTCTTCACTACGCCACGCCACGCCATGCTGTGACATACTACGCTTTGCGGTGCTCTTCTACGCCATGCCATGCCGTGCTCTACAATGCATCGCGTACCCTTTCGGGATCATTGCCCTGCTCGACATCCGACTGTGCGAGTAGAGAGGGGATCTACGCCATGGTAAGGGATGGGAGGGAGGGGAAGGATGTCAGATATGACGCGAGCGCGCCTAGCTTGTCCTCCTCCCCCTCCTCCTCCTCCTCCTCCCCCTCCTCCTTCTCCTCCGCCTCCTCATCCTTCTCCGCCTGCCTCGCCCGCGCGATCCGTCCTGCGTCGGAGGAGGCGCCAGAAAGGTGCCGCAGGCTCACGATTTCACAGGTCCACACGAGCGGTCACAGGCGTACAAGCACAAACGGGGCCGAGGAGGCTGTGGGAGCAGGGGGCGGGCCCGTCTTGATGGGCTCGTTTTCCATCACCACCACCACCACCATAAGTTGGAGGGGGGAAGGAGGCGGAGGAGGAGGCGGAGGAGGGGGAGCAGGAGGAGGAGGAAGAGGGGGAGGAGGACCCCCTCCCCCCCTCAACCTATGGTGGTGGTGGTGGTGGAAAACTGGCCCATCACGTGCCCCCGCTCCTCGCGCCTGGGCGGCGCGCTTGCGCGAGCCTGCGCCCCGTGCCGGCGGCCGCCCCGCGTCCACGGCCTCGCCGCGGCCGCGGCGACGGCCGAGGCGGTGACGGCCGAGGCGGCGACGGCCGAGGTGGCCTCCGATGCGGGGCCGGCGGCACTCGGCGTGCAGGTCGCGGCGGCGACGCCTGGCCCGGAGGCGCCACGGGCGGCGTCGATGCCGACGGACGGCTACGACGCGGAGGTCGAGGCAGAGCTGGCGGCACTCTTAGCGGCGGCGCCGCGGGCCGCACCGAATCCGACTGGCATGTAGGACGGCGCCATTTGGGAAGCGCGGGTCGCGGTAACTGCCCCCTTGCGAGCGCGGGCTCGTGCCTGGCTGGCTCACTCACGCTGACGGGCGGGCCCTTCGCCCACGCTCCTCCCGTGCGCGCTGGCTCGACGATGCTCGTCGGTGGGCCGCTGCCCCACGCCCCTCCCACCTTTAAAACGGATCGTTGAGACGATCCCTCTCCCCACTGGCGTGGCCTGGGCCTGGATAGAGGCGCCGTCGGGTCACCGTCGGCGGGGGCGGCCATGGCAGACAGGGCGGCCAAGGCGCGGAGCCTCCGGCTACCTCGCGACGGCCAGCTGCTGCGTGACGCCCATTCTGAGCAGGGCGACCTGGACGCGGCCGACCACCGTCAGTGCACCTGCAAGGGGTGGGGACAGGTGTCGGGGGCGCGCAGACATGGATTAGCGATCCATGGATTTGGCGCGCGGTCGCCAAATCCATGGATCGGGGTGGGAGTTCGTGGGGGAGCACCGCCCGTCGTGAATACGCCTTGGGGGGTCAGTGCCGACGCGGCGAGAGCTCCCTGGGGAATTGCTGGGCGCCGCGGGGCGCCCCGCTGCTTTCGTCACCCTCGCGTTCAGGGAGACCCCGCCTCGGCTCGACGGTCGAGCCTCGATTGGGGACCCAAGGTCTCACCTCTCGGGATGTGCGCCGTCGCCTCCCATGCCCCAATGCTCCTCCTCCCCCTGTGGCTCCAGGGCCAGCTCGGTCCGTGCCCGCCTGGCCCGTGCCTGCGCGCGCCCTGGGCGCGCCCGCCCCCCCGCCCCTGCCCTCCCCCGCGCCCGCCCCCCGACGCGCGGGGATGGCGCGTGCGGCGGTCGGCCGGCGTCGAGCCACCGCAACGCTCCCGCACACGGGCGTTCCTCATCGCCGACCGCCCAGGCCACGCGCCCTCCTCCTCCTCCTCCTCCTCCTCCTCCTCCTCCTCCTCCTCCTCCTCCTCCTCCTCCTCCTCCTCCTCCTCCTCCTCCTCCTCCCTCCTCGGGAAGTCCTCCTCACCAGCCGAACGCTTCCATGGGCTCCGCAGGGAACGCACGAACGCATTCGCGGTGCGCCTGCGGATACTCCCCGTCGGCGCCACCCCCCCCTTTCCGTCCGCGGCACCCCGCTTTGCTCGGCGGCGGCGGGCCGAGACGCGCGGCGGAGCGCCCGCTCGTGCTGCTCTGCCGCGCTGGCGGGCCACCAGGGCAGAGCCGCCGCGATGGCTCGATATGCCGCCGCTGCGGATTTGGCCTGATCGGCCTCACCCGAAGCGCGATCATCTTCGCGTTTTCGCGCCGCCTCCCCCTGGAACAGGATGAGGGACTCGCGCTTCGCGCTGTCTCGCCCAGACCGCGAAGCGCGACTAACCTCGCACCCTCGTGGTGGCCCTGACGGGTGCGACCGTGTCGGCCTCACGGTCAAGGTCTGCCACGTACTCCGCCTGCCCCACGCCTCGGGCGATGCAATATATGGGGGTGCGATACATTGGGGGAGAAACGTGCACATGTCGAGCCTTTGTTGTGCACAAGGGTGACACTTCAGGGCCGGTTCGGCGGTACAAAACATGCACCGTTCTTCGCCCCCCCGCCCCACTTAGCGCACCCCCATCATTCGACGCCCGAACGCCGCATTCCCTTTCGATCCTGGTGGTGTTCGAGGCGGCGGAGTGCGAGCCGATCAAGCGCAATGCCGTCGAGAACAGCTCGGGCCAAACCGTGCCGATGTCAGCCACGCTCGCTGCCCAGACTCCGTCCACAGCGACGCGGCGACTAGCGAGGAGAGCCCAAACCAGGCCTGGCCTGATTGCCCGAGACCCTTCGCTTGCATGGGCCCGCCGAACCTGTCGACCCCGGAACTCGGAAATAACTAGAGCGGCAAGCTTCAGCCCACGCCAAATGTCAAAACCTTGTAGGAACCTTTGTGTGGAAGAAAGTGCAACAGCAAATCAGCCAAATGTCAGCGGCAACGCTAAAACCTGACTGCGACACGTGCGACTGTCCAATCGCATGGCCATGGTCTAACACCCTCAGTCGGCCATGGTGGCCGACGAAGGAACTCAAACGAAGCACATTGGAAACGCAAGAACGCAGACAAGCGCGGTAAGGCCAGGACTCCATCTAGATGTGGCACTACATCAATTAAACAGCGAAGCCAGTGTAAATATCAGGTGGCTATGATTTGGGCGCAGACATGCAGGGGGCTCCGAACACGCGATACACTATTTCAGGTGTCGCGAAGGGCTGGGCCACGCGGAATGTTAGGCGTGTAGACGAGCAACTGGATCTCAACGGATCCTGAGCTCAAATCTCCGCCAACACGCCGCGCGATGATAACCCGGATATGTACTAGGGTAACACTCCGTAGCGGGCGCCAGCTCGCGCCTCCCGCTAACATTGTGTTGGTTGGTGTCTCGCATGTGTCTGAACATATCGTCCCTGCTGACATATTTGGTGAAAGCGTCTGCAAGGTTCTCATGAGGTCCTACCTTGAGAACTTTGATATATCCTCGTCGTATCCCCTCCTGTAATCAAGGTTGACAAACCTCGATGTGCCCGATTTTTCCTTATCCTCGCCGGCTCGCAGCAGCAATGGCCGCACTAGCATCATTCTTTAACGCAAGATTGCAATCAACATCGAAATCTTTGAACTGCTTGTAGTCCTAACCCTACTGATCCACCCTTTACCATAAAGTAATACTTTGCTTCTCCAGATGATCATGCCACTACGCTCTAAGTCGAAACCCACGACTTGATCACCTGTAACCCCGCGTAACTAATTCCCCACTTGGTGATTTACGTGTCCTCCCGCATCCGGCATAGCCAGTGTCGGTCCACACTTTTAAGTATTGAGGGCACCCCTGGTGCAAGCACTGGCATCCACAACTGTCGCGGTTCTTGAAATACTTGCCCAGATTCACCAAGCTTTCACATGCCCCACGGGTCGGGGCTGACATACAGGTCGCGCAGGAGCCTTAACCGAGAACTGTATGTCCGAGCGGTCATGTTCAAGATAGTCGGCTCGAACTACCAAAAATGGGTACTGTTTACCTTCATGCTTTGGTAGGGGCCCGATCGTCCTTTTCGCAAAACTGTTTTCCACCCGGCATCTCGCATCTTTTGTACTGTTGCCGGCCAACAAGTCGAACAATTATCTCAGCATGCCTTTGATCCGCCTCGCACCAAAGCCCATTCCGACTCCATTCCACAATTCGACTGAGAATTCTGATGGACTTCGAATAATTTGTACTTGGCCCGAGTCTGCCCCGGATTTAAACACCGCATTCCCTTTGAACTTCTCCTTTGGACCAGCCAAGGACGATGTGTTTACCCAGTGCAATCAAGTCGTCCCTACGCACACGGTCAGCCAGACCCGCCTTGTTTTAGTTTTAACACACGTGGTGGTGCTTTTTCAATGTCAAAGCCAATACCGCCTGCAACGTTAACGTAACAATCTTCCCAATGCTGGCTGCACCCCGAGTGCCGTGCATTAGCTTCAGCCATCTTCCACACATGGTTGCTTCGCGATCTTCCTCGGGCCACCGGATGAAGATGTTGTTTTTGGCCTCGGCGTAGCAGCATGCCTGTATAATGGGGTTTCCAATGGGGGCACGGCTGCAAAGATGTTCTTCCCTTTGGGGTTGCACTGGTTGGTCTCGCCCCCCCTGTTGATGCCGATCCACCTCGTGTCAATGGGGGTTTGCCAGTAACCACCCAGCATTCCTCCTCCTTGTTCGTAAACCTCATGTTTCCTGAATTGCCCCATTTCCTCCTCCCGAGCCTTAACAACTCTGATAATTTGTCGCACCTCATCAACACACCTTGATGCCTCGCGCGCCCCTGGGACTTTCAACCGCTCCTGACGCTGGCGAGCCCCATAGATCCATGGGCGAGGCTGGGTGTCCCAGGAGACTCGGCTAGTGAATGTGACGGCTATTCTGCGCCCTCCTCCTCTGAACTATCCCCTCCTCTCTTTTGCTGTCATTGCGTGTCCGTGTCCTGTCCCTGCTCTCTCCCCCGTGCGGTGCGATCTGGGCAGAATCTCGAAGCGGATCCAGCCGCACCGGCGAGGAAACCCCGAAAAGACCGGAAACGGCCAGAGACGTCGATCCTCGAACCTGCGAAGCTCGATCCTCTATCCTTGCTTGCACCGTCGAATACTTCGGATCGCTGGAGAACCTGAGCAGGCGGAATAGCCTCGCGATGCGCAGGATGCGGATCACCGACGTCACCGATCCTGTGCTGCGGGGGGCAACGGCGCCGACGCCGTTTGTTTGTTTTTCTTGCGCACCCCGCTCCAGCCCTGCGAGCACCAAGACAAAACCAGGTACGGGACAACATCGGATCGGGATAAATCGGTGATCCCGAAGATCTGGCAGTTCTGGAAGACGTATTGAGCGACGCGGCTGTTCCAGAGAGAACGGGGGATTGTGGAGTCACAGGGGGTCGAAGGCGCGCGCGCGCGCGAGGCTTTCACGCTGAGATCGCGCGCGCGAGTGCGCATTCTCTGCGCGCCCCTCCTCTTCCTCCCCTTCGTTGATCTCCTCCACTCCTCCTCCTCCACCACTCCTCCTCCTCCTCCTCCTCCCCCCAATGAACCCAAACAATTATTCTCTCCCCCCCGAAAGGAAAGGAGAAGTAATCATCCAGGCGAAGGACCCAGCCATATGCAGCTGTGAGTAGCGCAATTGTGAATATCTTCGTCGGTGGAGCTCCGTATGGGGCCACGGGCTTTGTACTGGGTGGGAGGGACACATGCGGGCGGTAGCACTGAGGCCGTCGATGAAGCTCCGAAGGGGCCACGGAACGCTGCACTCGGTTGGGGGGACGCATGCGGGCGTCCGTATGGGGCCACGAAGCGCTGTACTGGGTGGGGGGGACTCATGCGGGCGGTAGCACTGGGACCTTCGGTGGAGCTCCCTAAGGGGGGCCACGAAGCGCTGTACTAAGTGTGCGGGGGGGGGGGGCATGCGGGCGGTAGCACTGGGGCCGTCGGTGGAGTTCCGTATGGGGCCACAAAACGCTGTACTGGGTGGTGGGGGACGCATGCGGGCGGTAGCACTGGGGCCGTCGGTGGAGCTCTCTAGGGGGGCACGAAGCGCTGTAATGGGTGGGGGGGGGGACATATGCGGGAGGTAGCACTGAGACCTTCGGTGGAGCCTCGTATGGGGCCACGAAGCGCTGTACATTGTGTGGGGGGACACATGCGGGCGGTAGCACAGGGACCTTCGGTGGAGCTCCGTATGGGGCCACGAAGCGCTGTACTGGGCGGGGGGGACGCATGCGGGCGGTAGCACTCGGGCCGTCGGTGGAGTTCCCTACGGGGCCACGAAACACTGTACTGGGTTGGGGGGGACGCATGCGGGCGGTAGCACGGGGGCCTTCGGTGAGACCCCCGATGGGGCCACGAAGCGCTGTACTGTGTGTGGGGGACGTACGCGGGCGGTAGCACTGGGGCCGTCGGTGGAGTTCCCTGTGGGGCCGCGAAACGATGTACTAAGTGGGGAGGACGCAGGCGGGCGGTAGCACTGGGACCTTCGGTGGAGCTCCGTATGGGGCCACGAAGCGCTGTATTGGGTGGGGGGGGACGCACGCGGGCGGTAGCATTGGAACCTTCGGTGGAGCTCCCCATGGGGCCACGAAGCGTGTGAGGGGTGTGCTGAAAAGGGGTGATGGCGATGATGATGGTGAGAAGAGGAGGGAGGGGACAGCGGGAAGAGAAACGCGGGGACCGTCTCTTCAAAACGAAGACCCAACACCGCAGATGGTTGAAAAAACACACGCGCACAAAATTACCGAACAGCGTTTGCTGATAGGTTTCTAGTAGGGTCAAAAGAGAACAGCAGATGACTCCACAGGAGATCTGGGCGGGTGCCGGACAGGGTGCCGCAGAAGTCGTTTTAAGCCAACAGTCACACACTTCGTGCTCTTCGACCTCCCAGAACTCCATTCCCGGGCCACATTCTGAATGCTCGGAGCCAACTGTAGGCCACTTCGTGGTCTTCGACTTCCCAGAACTCCATTCCCGGGCCAGATTTTGGATGCCCGGAGCCAACTGTAGGCCACTTCGTGGTCTTCGAGTTCCCAGAACTCTATTCCTGGGCATGATTTTGAATACCCGGAGCCAACTGTAGGCCACTTCGTGTTCTTCGAGTTCCCAAACTCCATTCCCAGGCCACATTTTGAATGCTGAGGCAGGCTGAGGCTGAGGCTGAGGCAGGCTGATGCTGAGGCAGGCTGAGGCTGAGGCTGAGGCTGATGCAGGCTGAGGCTGAGGCAGCCTGAGGCTGACGCCGAAGCTGAAGGCAGACTGAGGCTGAGGCTGAAGCAGGCTGAGGCTGAGGCTGAGGCAGGCTGAGGCTGAGGCAGGCTGAGGCTGAGGCTGAGGCAGGCTGAGGCTGAGGCTGTGTGTCTGTGACTGCCGTTGCCACTGCGACTGTCATCGCGAATGCGACTACGACTGCGAGAACAGCACAATTCTACAACTGGATTCTCATCTGAATCTTAAGGGGAATGCTTCCAGATATGCTCCTACACATCGCTGTTAGGTTGCTTTGCCGGGATATTACCTAACAGCGAAGACTGATAGGTTTCTAGTTGACTCAAAAGAGCGTACAGATCACTCCACAGGGGGGTCCGGGCGGGCGCCGGACAGGGTGCCGCAGAAGTTGTTTTAAGCAAACAGTCACACACTTCGTGCTCTTCGACCTCCCAGAACTCCATTCCCGGGCCACATTCTGAATGCCCGGAGCCAACTGTAAGCCACTTCGTGCTCTTCGACTTCCCAGAACTCCATTCCCGGGCACATTTTGAATGCCCGGAGCCAACTGTAGGCCACTTCGTGGTCTTCGAAGAACTCCATTCCCGGGCCACATTTTGAATGCCCGGAGCCAACTGTAGGCCACTTCGTGCTCTTCGAGTTCCCAGAACTCCATTCCCGGGCCACATTTTGAATGCCCGGAGCCAACTGTAGGCCACTTCGTGCTCTTCGAGTTCCCAGAACTCCATTCCCGGGCCACATTTTGAATGCCCGTAGCCAACTGTAGGCAACTTCGTGCTCTTCGACTTCCCAGAACTCCCATTCCTGGGCCACATTTTCAGCAGGGGCAAGAGCACGACGAGGAGGAGGACGAGCAAGACCAGGAGGACGAGGACGAGCAGGAGCAGGACGAGGAGCAGGAGGAGCAGGAGAAGAAGGACGAGCAGGAGGAGGAGGAGGACGAGCAGGAGGAGGAGGACGACCAGGAGGAGGAGGACGACCAGGAAGAGGAGGAGGAGGAGGAGGAGGAGGGGAGGGGGAGGACTACCAGGAGGAGGAGGAGGAGGAGGAGGAGGAGGAGGAGGAGGA